TATATATATATATATTAGTGCTGGGCAACGATTAAAATATTTAATCGCGATTAATCTCATGGATTTTTTGCGATTAATCGCGATTAATCGCATTGTTATGGCAAAGTTCAATAATGAATTCAAAAGTACTGTATTGCGCACTTTTATTTTAAAAGTACTGCCAGATGAACAAAAGGGCAATAACATTTGGTTCACGAGATGCAGGTAGCATGTTTTATACTTAATGTGAATATAATTCATACTTTGTTGGCATCTTATTCTGAAAACCAGATGTTCGTCTGAAGAAACTGGATGTTGTCTCACATTAATCTTTCCGCTAACTTTCAAAGTCCTTCGCTCGCTCCCGATCTGTGCCATTTAAATGCGTTTACCGTAAATTTCAGCATATAGGTGCACTAAAATTACTGACTATAGGATGTTTGCTGGCTTTTATCCCACTGTTCTTGTCATCCTCTTGTTGTTATGTATAGTCTCTTGTCTTTCAATTAAAAAAAAAAAAGAAAATTATAATAAATTTAAAAAATGAGTTAACGCGCGATAAAATAATTGTCGCCGTTAATTAATGAATGCGTTAACATGAAATTAACGCGTTAACTTGCCCAGCACTAATATATATATATATATTCAAGAAGCCTAGTAGTAGTAACAATGTATCTGTGTAGTAAACAACTGTCAAATCAAATAAAGAAAGTACACATCAATTATATTTTAACAAATTATTATTCTCAGTTTTCAAATTTAACTGGATGGATTATAAATAATATATAGAAATACATAAATAAATGTTCTTCTCATTTCAAGTAAAATAAGAGCTGGAGTAAAGAATAACTGACATAACAGAAAGCTTTTCAAAAATGTGCATCTTAAAATAAAGCAATTCATTTTAGAAAAATGAATTTCACTGAATTGTCCTGCAGCTTTAAATTCAGTTCATTCAGGTGTGAAGTGATGTCAATAAAAAAGCCACGATATTATATTTTACTCGTCTTCTAACAAGAGAAATCAGTGAGCATGGACTTTATGTGTGGTTATTAAACCACTTGTTTCAGCTCTATTCTCTCTGTTGACATCCTTGTTGGACAGTGAACTCATGTGTTAGGTTTCTGATCATATTGGGCTCTGAGGTTTATTTTCTGTCTTCATTTCAGATGTGAGTGGGTACGTTTGTTCAAAAGAGTTGTGCTTTGTCTCGTAGTGCGCTTCATTTACCACTTTTATCAATAGTTACGGTTTCTGAACATATGATACTGGTTTTAACTGCCTGTGGGAAGAATCAACATATAAGAGTCTGTTCATTCATGCTTATAAATTCTATTCGCTCTGAACGCGTTTCTCTTTTTGGACAACGTCATGTGAGATAACTTCTCTGATTAGAGGGTCATGGTGAAACAGGGAAATGGTCTTAAGGACTCATCGAAGCCAGATGGCAGGAAACATCAACATTACAATATTTATAGAACTCCAGATGGCACTTTTAAATTGACATCATAAATCACTGGTGTCGAATAGTTCATAATAACAGCTACAATACAAATAGCCGTAGCTACTAATGGAAACTCTTAAAAGTAGTGATTCTACAGACAACATAGCACATGTTTTGTTGTGGTCCTAAACTGTGTATTCACAACCACTTTATCTTCCATATGATGTGATTTATTTGACGGTAACTCGCCGGACGAAAATTGCACAACATCTTGTTTTATACTTGAACTTTGTGGCTTTACATGTTTTCAGTGGGACCCATTTTGTTCCTTACCTGAATGATGGGAGGATGCTGAAGGAGAGTCGGATGACCCACAAATCGAACATTGTCTATCTTCAGTTCAAACTTTTTCCCACACATATCAGATTTGGTGGCCAGAATGGTGGCGAGGATGATGTCAGAGAACCTTAAAGAAGGAGAAACATCCTCAATAAGAAACATGAGCAGGGTGTGATGGGAGGTTACAGCACAGCAACAGCTGCGAGAACGTTTAAATTAGCTGTTCGTTTACATTTTTCACATTCCTGTCTATAAGAGGGGTTGCGTTAATCAAATGCATCTGCCTGTAATGTAATTCAACAATGACAGCATAAATAAAAAAGCTTGTGTGGCTACTGGAGAGGAGGAAAGAGGAAGAGGCCTCCTTGCAGAAACAGTGAAGTCGCTGTATGAATGAAAAATGTGAAAGACACATGCTGGTTTGACTTAAGTAACTCATGCTGCAATCAAAGGGATACAAATCAAAGCGTTAACTTTCAGAAACAAATTAAACACACTATAGACTTACCTCACAGCACAATTTGAAAAACATATGATGTATCTGCTTTATTGTGGTTTGCATTTGATTTATATTTTGTTTTGTAATGCTGAGTCTACATGCTTGAGGTAATATAATCAATGTGAATTAATTATTAATTATAGTTTAACTGTTCGATTTTGTTTTTTTTCAAAAAGGCATACAGTACAGACGAAAGCAAAACTGCAGTCCCGAATTGACCAAAGCACCGATTCACTGGATCTGCTAATGATAAATGATTTGACTGAGATTGGGGTTGGGGATCCATAAAGGACACAAAATAGGAAAGAAGGGGATTAAAAAAAAGACAGGGGTGATCTAAGCGAAGGAAAGGTGGTTTAGAATGATTTGGTCTTACCCTGCTACCAACTGTTCGTCAGTTAGTGGAGATTGTTCTCTGAAATGGGAATTGGGCCATAAAAAAGAAGAAAAAAGCAAACAAAAGGGAAAATGCAACACACAGTTGGCCTGAATGCATAAAATGGACATCAACACAACCCCAACAAACGTGATACTGTGATGTGAGAATGCTGGTCTGCAGGTTGATTCAAGCTAATTACCAGTTTACCCTGACTGAGTTTTAACGTTTATTTACGTTGAAAAATATCAGCTAATATAGATATGGGATCTTAAAAGCCAGCATCATAAAGGCAACTAAAAATGTTAACATTACTAAAAAAAATACTGTGAAACTAATATATGCAGGAGAAACCAGCCACTTAAATACTGCAAACCACTTTCTACTGGTCTGTATAAAGCTGTTAGTCCAAGGCCTCGACATGTATATAGTATACTTAACCCTGGCTCGAGGTTTCAGATAGAATTGATTTTAAAATCCTTTATCTATTATCTGTTGTGCCCTTCTCAGTTCTATATTTCAGTGTAACCTCTCTATAAGGTCCTTTTCAAGAAGCTGTAAAACTGTAGTGAAGTCTGTTTGCAGTGGAGACAGAAGCAAAAAAAAAAGTGAGCAAAAAAAATGTTCCTAGTGCCAGTTTTGTCTCATTATGCCGAGTGAGCTGAATTGATAACAATACTTTAAATGATCTGCTCCCTACAGCCCTGTGACCAAAGTCATTTCAGCCAACCAATGACTGACCAGCATTACCATCCATAAAGTGGAAGCAGGATGAAAACTAAATACTGGGACTCAAAGGTTCTTCGTCTGATATTTTCATATTGTTTTCCAGAAACAGATATCAACATCTTTGACATCGTCTCCAAACAGGGAGGAGTTTAAATTCTGATCATATTTCATATTTCTGATCATATTTCATCAAACTTCTGCCTGAGTTAGTAAATAAATATCACAATATTTTTGACTAAATACTCTGGTATCGATGTTGTGTCAATATTCCAGGTGGTTTCAGAAGATATTTACACAATGAGATTCTTGATAATCATCAGTAATGTGGATATAACGACTAAGTAGGTAAAGACAAATAATAAAAGTAGAAGTAATTTTACATTTTATTGTAATGTGGCCTTTAAACCAGAAAATGACAACACTTATGCCATATTACGATATTATTCAAGACAATATCTAGTCTCATAACACGATATTGATTATAATATTGATATATTGTCCAGCACCGCCGTTCATTATGAAGAGCCCAGAGGAAAAACTCACTTCATCTGCATTTGTATTTCTTTGTATCTGTAACTCACAGAGCTAGAGTTCAACACATTGCAAGATATATTTTTTCGGCCTATTTGTGGCTTTGTTAGAGATTTTAAATGTGAAATGTTTGTTCTACTCATTCTCATGTGGCTCACCACCAGCACAGTTTATACCATTTAAACAACAAACACATTTTGGTTGAATGTACTTTAAAGACTTCACACATGGTGTAGTGATGGTGGACTGAACTCAACATTACTCAACTTCATTCGTGTCACATCTACTGCACCCGTGTACACCAGTTTCCCTCTTTCTTCTTGTACTCAGTGGATAGATAAGTCATCCTATTTTATTTTTATGTCACAGCTTTTGTAAAACCATGAAATTATGCAGCACTGTCACCATCTTATTTTTGTATCTATGACCACTTTCTGTTTGTGATCTTACTATGTTCTATGATTGAGAGCTTCTTGTCTCAACATGCCTGTTTAACTTAATTACAACTTCAATTGACATTTAAAGTGACATTTAGACACATGGTGAGGTTACAGCTTTAGGTTTTGAAGTACAACCCTTACAGCCTTTTTTTTAAATATTAACATTGTTAAATAAAGCTCAACCACATGAGTTAAATTAAACATGGTCCAGCTCCTTATTCATCTTGAAAAATAGATGAGGTTTCAAAAAAATAAAATCAGATCCAATGCAAAAGGCAAGACAAACCTTATGAGAGTAGGTGGCTCATGTGGATCTGAGAATGGGCTGTGTCCACCAACAGTCAATTTCCCTCAAATTAATTTAGATTATATATTAAATAAAGAGCCAAAAAATACCTTGAATCACCATCCTGATCTTCAAGACTATCCCCGGCTGTGTTCAGAGCATATGGACTTCGTTGTTTTGCTTGTGGACAGAAATAACAGTATTAGTTAGTTCACATACTTATTGATGCTAATTAGACAAATAAACACAAAATGTTGCTCCCTTTTGAGCCACAAAAGACCTTTGTTAGGTGTTATGTAAACTGTTTCTTTAACTGTATAAAGCCATAGTTTCTCTCTGTTGGTAAGAGTCTATTTGTGATGGTTGTTGCTCTTGGCATGCAATTCTTAACCTTTTTCTTTATGGCATCCAAGTTTCTCTATGTTGCCAAAGAAAAACTAACTTATATGTAGGATGTATTAAGGCAGATATGCTGGTAGTTTGTATTCAGCTAATTGATAACTCGTTTATAGGATGTGGACAAAATAACAAGCACACGAAAAAGGACACAACATTTGAAGCAACGAGCCAAATCACAGCAAACTGTCAGCACAAACAACCACAACAACATATGCAAAACAACAGGAAGCCTGTCTTTTCAGGAAGGGGAACAGTGGACCCAAGTGGGCCTTGTCAACAGAGACTGAAAGAAACGTTGTGTTTGCTTTTAACCTAAAACTGTCGCCCTTCAGATTAGTCACAACCTGATTATTGCCAGCTTTATAGAGGAAACAGATATTGCTGGGCTGTTGTATTATACTGGGGAGTGATTGAAACTGTTGCCCTGTCTCTGTAAATGAGTAATTATGTGAAAGTGAGATCTTGAAGGCACCGAGACATTTAGCGTTTAGGGGTTGAACTGTGACTCTCTGGCTAGTCCTTACTTAGCTAACAGCTAAACTACGCCTACCTGTAAGAGATGACGGGCATTCAGCCACTCTTTGGAAAGGGTATCGAAAGAGCAGTTTGTTCCCTCGGCTGCCAGAGCTAACCAGTATGACGCTAATAGGGCTGGTTTTATCGCCGGTTTTGTACACGCTGTTCTGGGACTGAGTGTACATGGATGTTCGCTCATCTGCTAACCCGGCTAATGGGTTGAACATCGTGTTAGCATTCTAGCTAACTTCACGTTAGCTGCGACACAATAAAGTCGTTCGTTAGCTAACCTACGAACAGTGACCGTTAGCTTGTAGTAGGCGTATTAATGTATGCCAGACACAAACACCGATCGTTTACAGTCTAATTAGAAATAACTTGGAGGCCTGACTGAAGTCCTACCGCACATCCACATCGCACTGCTGCGATTGTTTTGTGTCACCTTGAAAAGTGTTCGGCTAAAACAGAGACTGTTTTAGGATTCCCCCCTCATTCAACAATGGCCAGTGCTTTCCTCCGTCCATCTTGTGGTTGTAATAACTTTGTGTTTAATGATGGAAGATCATATACAACATTACTACAATAGTAAAAAGCAAGTGTTTCCTACTGGGAAACACGGTCCCAAAAAGCGCCATGCAGACTACAAATAGGTCTAAAGCAAAATATCTAGTGTCAAAACATGCAGTATTATGATTTAAAGATATGATTATATCTGACAATATATCCCAGATTGTTATTGTTGTTTTCAAACTGTTTGCCATCCGTGTATTTGGCAGTTTGGGCATAAAAAAGACCCTTCATGATTAAGGTTGATAAATATTTTCCCTGTTGCATCATATCCGCTAGATGGCGCTTTTGGCTAATTTTAGGAGACTCCATGCTGCGTCTGCAAAGATAAGAATGTCTGTCTGTCTGTCCTTCGCATATCTCGACAACCATTCATCCGATCTTCTTCATGCTTGGCGGCTGTTCTGCTGCGACCCAAGTTAGTGCCGTACCCTTGTCGAGTGTGACATTTTTTTGAATGATCTGCAAGCAGCAATACTACAGGCCAAGCATTCGGCCCGGTTTGAGCATGCATGTTTTCTGTCACTGAAACTGTATGTTTTAGAGATGTATTCTTTTGGAAAACTAATTTTACAGTAATTTATTCTAGAAATAATGAATCCAGAACGCAGGAGTCACTATTTTCGAAATTAAATGTTTAATATTTTCCTGGATTCTTTTTTTTAATACAAATCTCAATTGTATGGACTGTGATTGTACAAACGACCAGATTATCAGGGATCAGTGTGTCTCATTATAACAGTTTTTTGTTGCCTGTGTGTGTTGTGTTTTGTCTTAATTTGTATAGATTGTAAATTAGTCAAGGCAAAGAGACCCATAAGGAGAAGAAGATGAATAATAACTATTTTTTTAACTGATGACACACAGAGAGATATATTTAATTTGAGTTTTATTTGGTGCATTTGGCAACATCTTCAAGAAACATGCTGCACATTATTAGAATGTGAACTGCCACTCCAGACCCTCAGGACTTGTTTGCCCATGCAGGGCAGAGGTTTGCATTTGATACTGGAGTGTAGGGCAAATAAAAAAATTCTATCCGAGAATACTTTTTCTTTCACGTCAGATAACTTTAAGAAAAGGCAGACATGAGTGTCAGGAAAAGACAAGTCTGTGGAGAGGTCTTTTTGTGAGACAGTGGCCCCCAAGTAAGATTTATTTTATTGTATTATACTTTGACACTGTCTACATGCTCTTTATTAGTAGTATTTAGTAGTAGTAGTAGTAGTAGTAGTAGTAGTAGTAGTAGTAGTAGTAGTAGTAGTATTAATAATAGTAACTCAACACATTAGAATATATATATTTTTGTTTTCTTTAGGAATTTTTTCTAACATTTTTTTATTTAATATTAACACTTATAATGACAGCTGTGTTACGAAATCTCATCGTTCAGCCAATCACATACCTGCACCCTTCCTACGCTCAATGCTTATTCAACGCTATCAGTGCAGGGATTCGTTTAGAACTTAAGCTACTCATTAAACCGTTACTTGCAAATTACATTGTGGGGATATCAGCAATATTTTGATGAATACATAAAATATAAAGGACATGTTTTCAACTGTTTCATTTAGTACGATGATAGGTTCATAAAGAGCCATAAATATGCCGAGGACAGCAAACCGCGACGCTGATGGTGTGGTGTGGTGAGGGAGCTGTCCGAGGTGCTGGGTGACCGGGAAGAGTTGGCCACTTGACTGACAGATCGGGGCCTGAAAGCGGCGCGAGGCGAAGGAGCTGTCCGAGGGACTTCTGCGGTCCCCACAATAAATACACCTGTTTCTGTTGTTATACATACTCTGTATTATTTCAGTTCTTCCGGTCTTGACTACATCTCCATGCCTATATATGATGTTCTTGTTTTGTTTTGTGTCCAGATGTGAACATCATTTACAACATGATCAAATCAGTGACAAGGGTCAAATTGAGGGCCAGTGGTGGAAGAAGTACTCAGTTATACAAAAGGTCTATAACACAGTGTACAAAAGTACAAAAGTAACCTCGTTCTAAAATTGCATTAATACGTCACTTTAAATGTAGAAGCAGGCAAAGCGGAGATACGTTCAATAACTTATTTTAGTCTAAAATTATACAAGTTATTGTATTTGTTGGTGATATTTTGTATTGTTCATCTTAATCTGTAAAGTAACTAAAGGTATAAAATAAATTTAGTGGCGTAAAAAGTACAACATAACTTACCACTTTAATTGTGTGAAAACCCTT